TAGCAATAGCCAAATAGCAATAGCAATAGCAGTTAGACTTATATACCGCTTCATAGGGCTTTCAGCCCTCTCTAAGCAGTTTACAGAGTCAGCATATTGCCCCCAACAACAACCGGGTCCTCATTTTACCCACCTCGGAAGGATGGAAGGCTGAGTCAACCCTGAGCCGGTGAGATTTGAACAGCTGAACTGCAGAACTGCAGTCAGCTGAAGTAGCCTGCAGTGCTGCATTTAACCACTGCGCCACCTCGGCTCCTACTTATGTGTGTAATCACACACATAATATTTCTGATCAAGAATGTGGTAGCTCTACAACTGCAGAAGTGCAAAATGTTGATTATCTGGGTTCACAGAAAAAGTTTGCAGCCTAGGCGTGTTCCTTGAGCTCCAGCTGTTGGTGAATTCCCAGGTGTCAGTGGTGACAAGAAGCACATTTACACAGTTATAATTAATGTATCAGTTGTAATGATTTCTAAGCTGGCTAGATCTGACATCTGATAGCTAAGTCTCGGCTACATCTGAGTGGATTGCTACAATATGTTCTATGATGAGCTATGATAGTTGTCCAAAAGTTGTTCTATGATAATTGTCCAAAAGTTTCAAACTGTGGCAGCTACAACAATCAGGAGACAATTAGCCTTTTGTAGAATTATATTATCTATTATAGGGGAAGTGGTGGCTCAGTGGCTAAGACGCTGAGCTTGTCGATCAGAAAGGTCAGCGGTTCGAACCCTTAGCGCTAAGTAACGTAGTGAGCTCCCTTTACTTGTCCCAGCTTCTGCCAGTTTGAAAGCATGTAAAAATGCAAGTAGAAAAAATAGGAACCATCTCTGGTGGGAAGGTAACAGTGTTCCATGCACCTTCGGTGTTTAGTCATGCTGGCCACAAGACCACTGAGATGTCTTCGGACAGCATTAGCTCTTCAGCTTTGAAAAGGAAATGAGCACCTCTCCCTAGAGTTGGGAACAACTAGCACATATGTGCGAGGGCAGTGGTGGGTTCCAGATCCCGTCACAACCAGTACGCTGCGATGGGGCCAGGCGCCTACCATGTGCATGCACACCCTCTACCTGCGATGCTCCAGCTGCTCAGCGGAGCATTGTGCAGGTGCCGTACGCTACATGTGTGTGCGCAAATGGCCCAGTTGGGTCAAATACAGCTCAGGAGCACAGGTGGGCAGGTGGGCCTTCTAAAGCACCATACTGGAACGATGCCTGCTGCTCCCAGCAGGCACTGGTATGCCCGTACCGGGGTGTCTCGCCCACAACCCACCACTGTGCAAGGGGAACCTTTATTATCTACTATCTAGTTAATATCATCTAGACATTACTTCCCAATTTGTTTAAATTGTTGGTTTTGACAGGCTGTTCTTCTGACTGTTAGGCCATAGCTCAAGATGGACTTTGTCAGAACATTATGATTAATAAGAGAAGACTGAAGGCGGTGGGATCTAGATAAAACTAATTTCTATGTTGTTCCAATATATGGAATGCAGACTTAGAATTATCAGCAGCTCTGTCCCACATTTCTCCAGTTTTCGGGAAAGATCCTAGCATCTTCATAACACTTTAGTTTAACAAAGTGCTATTACTTTATTTTGTATTGTTAGTGAACTTTAATGTAGAAATAATGGTAAAACAACTAAGCAACAGGCATATTTGTTGTTGTACTAATGAGTAAAAAAAAAAATCAGGTATTGCTAATAGCTGTTTTTTTTCTTTGTAGGACTTTTCCAAGGAATTAGAAGCCGTGTTAAAAATATTCATTTCCAAAACTCACACTACAGAGCCAAAGACTTTTGCTTGTGATTTAGGATCGCAGCCAAGAGAAACAGTTGCAGCCCAAAGTTAGCTGAATTGCCATGTTTAAAAATTATTGGGGTTGCATATAAATGCCTTGACAAAATTGCACTCAGAATTAGTATGGATCTTGTCCTCAAAGATGATGTCTCTCCAGTGCACTGTATTGGAGGACAAGGAAAAAGCCAAGTCGAGCACCTTAATTAGAACTGCAGGAACAAAACTCCTTTTGTATAAAATGTGTGGCTTCCAAGTTCCAGAATCTTTACAGGTGGGTGAAACACACTGAAGGGATCCGTTTCTAACACGAAGGAGATTCTTACCTTGCAGTGAATCCCATTGAACCATTGACAAGTAAAACTACATGTAAGCTTCGTATTTAATCGGGTATTTAATGGATGCTCATACTTGATTTTTTTCAGTTGAACTTCGTCTGGAAATATAATCATTGCTATGAGAGCACTAATATTGGCTTAATTTTTTTTTAAAGGGTGCCTGCTCTTGTCACATTTTGTATTTGTGATTTTTTAATGCAGAGAAAAATAGTTTTATGAGGAATATTGTTTTTAATGATGCCACCATTTAATTACTGAAATAGTTGCTTTTAAAAATATTTATATAGAAGACGGCTCTACAATCTTGCCAATGGAAAAGGCTGAGAAAAGGATTGACCCAACTTTACTTTGATATGAGACTTAATTTCCTATGGAGTGTATCTCTTCCTTTCTCTTTTTCTTGCACTATAGTAATGTAGTTTTCTTCTGGAAACCTGCTTGTTTTATTATTAAAGATAATGGGTGAAATTAGTGCATGTTACAGATTGTCTTTTTCTATCTTCCTTAGAAGTGATCCTGAAAATTTTACTCAACAGATTTCTGGATGAGATGGCTATTGGGTTAGTTTTTACTGGGCTATTCAGCAGCTCTATTCTGAAAAAATGTGTGGAAAGTACATGGCTTAAGCCAGTGTTTCTCAATCTTGGCATGTTGAAGATATGTGGACTTCAACTTCCAGAATTCCCAAGCCAGCGATGCTTGGGAATTCTGGAAGTTGAAGTCCACATATCTTCAACATGCCAAGATTGAGAAACACTGGCTTAAGTTATTTACTCTGGCATGCTTAAATAGTAAGATTTATTTTGTGGGTGGGTGAGAAAGAATTCAACAGGAAAAATGCCACTTTTAGCCACTTTCTCTATATATAAAAAAGTATTTATTGTGAGAATATGAAAATAGCAATCTTGGTTAAAAGCAGATATGGGCTGAAGGTATGTTTCAATAAAGTGGTATATTTTGCCACATTCAATAAAAGATTTTGCCCCACTTTAAGACTATTCTTCCTACCCCAGGCATTCACAGGTACCATAGTGTTATAAGTGCAAATATTATTATATAAATATATTTCAATGTAACAATTATTTCTAGAAAGCATACATTAATTGAATAACCATAAACATAATAATTAGCTTCAGCATATAAAATCATTTCAAAATAAGTATATATAAATAACTTAAGTTGTAAACATAGAAATAAACAGTTGTATGCAGTTATAAAAATAAATATCTGATGCTCTGTACAATAAAACATTATCCTTTGACAAGCACACCTGCATTAGGAGAGGAGTCCATCTTGGATGTGCCTTTTAAAATTGCTTGATTCATTAATAGGGGTACCAGGTTCAAAAAGTAAGGGAAAAAATAAACACAGTGAGCAGCCGGTGATTCTTGGAATGCAGTCCTAGAATCAATTTGCTTCCCATCTTAAATGATGTGATTTCTGGTAGAGAAGATAATCTCTACCGCCCACTTCAAATAACGCAGAGGACAACAAAGCTAAAATATTTCCGATGCTACACATTATTTCTATAGTCGTATCGACTGCTTGGCATTGATCAACATTTATCTTGTCAGTCACCATCTGTGCTTTATTTAGATCACATGATGCTTATGCTTGTGCTACATGCCAAGTTGATGTCTACGTAACAAAGCCAAGTCAGTATGCACTGAAATATAGATTCATTTATGCTGCCCACAGTCCCCAACTAGTTCAGATCAGTGAATTAGTTTTACACCCTATTGTTTAACAAAAAAAGCGCAAACAGTTCCCTTTTAGATTCAAAAGGCACTTTCCACATATTTGTGGGGAAAGGGAGAATTCTCTTTACCTAGTCCAACAAAAATAAGATATGGAAAACACCATGTTGTCTGTAGGCAGCCTCTGAAAACCTGTCCTTTCTTACTATTTTATGCTACCATAATTACTAAACTTAATTGCTTTCCAATTAATACAGAAGAACAGTGACATGTTTTACAGCCTTTCTATCTTTTCTCTCCCAAACTCAGTTCTGTTTTAAGGAACAATACCCCTTAGTAATTTTTACTTCATAAAATGTCACAAGTAAGTTGCGGGCAGTTGTAGTAACAGAGTGGACCTAAAACGTTAAGCTCTCGAGGGGAGAATAAGTCACCTTCAAACCAGTTTGATTCCTGGGGACCACACAGGCATAATCATTCAGTTTTCTTGACAAGAAATGTGCCACTGTCTTCCTTCAGGATTAGCAAGTTTCTAAATACTAAAAGCTAGCTGGCAGAAAATGGTAATAGGTAGCAATAATTCTAGGTTACATAACTTGATTTGTATTCTTAGGAATAACCTGAATCAGACAGGGTGCGCATTCACATGAATAAAACCTACTTTCAAATATTAATTGTTCTAGGAACAGTGAGGGATGAGAATGTTAATTCTATGCTCGTTCACTTTGAACCTAATTATGTGAATGTGGTTTGGCATTTATTTTATACAATCATATTTATTACTAAAAAAAAAAAGACATTGAAGAACGCAAATAGAAAAATGTAATTTTATAAAGCAGCTCACAGGGAATGCAAATCGTTATGACATGAACAGTTGAGGCTGAGAGGTTAGATTTTCAACTTGATAAAAAGTCATGGGGTAAAACCATGGTGGACTTCCTATGTTTTGACCTTATTTTCATTACCATTGATCCTGTTGCTCTTCCAGGAAAAGAAGAGTGGCAAGGATATTTGCTGAATGAGATGCTGTGACAGGAATTCCTCTCCGGCATTCAGAATGTAGTGGTAGCTATGTAGGAAACTTGCAGGTGTATTAATGCTGTTATATTACTGGTTTTCAACATGTAGTCTTAGGGTGGAGTGATTCTGTAGTGCGAAAAAAATGTCCTGTCTCTCTTCCTGAGTTGCATTTCTGACCAAGAGAAAGCATAAACCAGTTCTCATTTTCACAACTTAGTACTCTACCTTGAGAGTGAGTTGCTTCTCCAGCCAGTAACACTGTAGTGCTGTTATGCATTTTTCATTGATCAGGCATTGATCAGGCACTCTACATAGAGCTTTATAGTAGCTTAGTTTAGCTTCCAAAACGATGTGTTTCTTAACATTAAAAAAAAGTTCTTTTGTGTTTTACTGCACCAGCAGCCTTTCCATAATCATCTGGTCGAAGGAGAAGTTCAATGTAAAATCAATATTTCAAGGAAAATTTCTTGACCAGTGTATCTGTGAAGGTTGCCATTTCTCTTAACCACCAACCAAAAATCTCATTCAAGGTTTTTTTCTAACTGAACAAGGAGAATATTTGTAATGCGGAGTAACCATTTATGATTCTGTGTGGTCTGGCAAGGCTTTCCTCCTGCCACCAGTTTCAGAAAGCCAATTCTGGCTGTTGCTGGTATTTACATTTTGTTACTGAAACAGAGTTTGTTGACAGTGTGCATTGTGCCCATCTAAGTGGTGAGAAAATGGGAAAGCTGAGCAATTACCAAAGGTTGTCTCTTTACAAAAGAGCTCAGAAGTCTTGCAGGAATCGCTGGGGCACCAAGGTCAACCTGCAATAATTCAAAAGGGGAAAAAAAATCTTAGCCAATATTTGGCAATGCTATTCAATACCGAGAGCTTCCGAAAAAGTGCTACTTTTTACAGGGTGGCCAAAAGATTGGTGAGAGGAGTTGAAGTACACATCTTAGTTATAATCTCTCAGGTGAGGTTTATTGTAATGTGTCTGCTATGCACACAGAATTAGTATTAGAAAACCTGTCTCCAGCTTCCCCATAATGTAAAAAGATATAGTCCTTGAATTACAACCATTCTTTTAACAACTATTTGAAGATACGATGGCACTGCAAAAACCTATTTGTGACCGATCCTTGCATTTATGACTACCGCAGTATTTATGTGGTCACATGATCAAAATTTGGGCACTTGGCACCTGACATGTTATAGCATGACAGTTATGGCATCTGAGGGCCATATTGTCATTTGCAACATCTATGAAGCAAAATTTGGTGAAAGTTGGTTTCCTTTAATGACTATGTGATTCTCTTTATGACCTGTGATTCTTCAAATGATTACAGCAAAAAAGGGTCATAAAATTAGGCAAAACCACATCACCTGTCAGTCCCAATTGTTATAAATTGAGGACTATATGTAATGAAAAAAGCAGCTTTCGAGACTAGCTTCATCTTGCAGCAAATGTGGGGCATTTTTGCTACTTAAAAGAAATTAAGCAAGGAACCGGGGGCACTCATACAGAGCAGTGTAAAAATGTATCAGTAGTTTTATGCCCATATGTATTGCATTAAAAATCTAGACAAAAAATAGGCCAGATAGTCTGTCCTGCAAAAATAATGGGTTGGATTTACGCCACTAATCACTATGGATATATATACAGTCAGAGCAAGAATACCAGTTGTTTTTGAATAATGCCATCTAATTGGGCAGATCTACCTATGCTCTTATGAATAGAAGCTCCAGAAGCCTGGCATCTGACCAATACCATTCTGGCTAAAGTTCACTGCTTTGTTTGTTGACTTAGCACCACATTTAAGAGGGAAGGCACTTCAGATCCTGGTACTTTTCTCAGCATCAAATGTTTATTAAAAAAAATAAAAATAAAATAAAACCTAGGTTGCATCCCAAATAAGACATTTATTTTGTGCTTCTTAAACAGCAATGCAATAGTGGAAAAACACTGCAAATCAGTATAAGTAATAACTTTGCTATTAGATCCACTAAGCAAGAATCTTAAAATCTTGTCATACTTCCTTGCACAATTTAATAGATGCATTTTATTTGTTTTGTCACTATGTTGTAGAAAGCAATCTTCTGCATATAATCATATACCGTATTTTACAATAACTTTTTGTCTAGCTCTGCGGATACCTACCTGTGCCATATATATGACTTTAGTGATGTCTTTTCCATTCATGGTATCAGGTTGTAATATCCATGCACTGGGCAAAATCTCTCCTCGTACCATTTCTTTACATGGGCGAGGCATTGACTCTTCATAGATAGATTGAAGAGCTAAGATGTACATATTTTCCTAGGCGAAAGAAAGGAGAATTACAGGATAAAAATCCACTAGCAGCCGTGGAGTTCTCTTCCCATAGACTGGCTTTCCAGCCTTTATCAAAATATTTTCAACGTAAGGACAGGCTGTTAGACTGCTCTGATATCATGGTAGTAACCTTGATTGGCTATTGGATTGGTGATACATAATAAAATTATGAATGAATGAAGGTACTTACAACTAGTCCCAAATGTTATGTCCATTGTAGCATCCAATAACAATATAACATTTGGGCAATCTGCTTGTACTTATAGCCATAGGATGACTTCACCTATTTCCCTCCACCTAGGCCCTTTTATTCCTCTTATAGCCCTTATCACCCTAGCTGACTGTTGCCATCTTCTTGCTCGCTGCTGGCTGCACAAGACCCTCTTCTCAAGGTTGCTCACAGCAGTTTCCTTGCAAGACTTGGGGAAGATGGC